GATCTGGAGAGATGACACATCCTTGTCTAATGCTCCTTTCTATTTTTGTGTGTACATGCTCAATACATTTACTATTCGTATGTATCTGTTCCCCTCATCTCAAATGGTAATGGTAATGTTAGCCAATTCCTTATAAGGAAACATCTATCCATTGTTAAACGAGCTACGTTTTTATTCACTCCCTGACCATCGAACTGGGAACAATGTGTCGTATGTTGATTTTGTATGGGGTACCCACTGAGGATCGAACTCAGTACACAGTCGCAATTTGTTCTTGCGAGACAAGCTTGCTAGCCATTACACCACGCCGAGGTGCCCACCAATGTGTAGTATGTATTCTCATATCTAATGATAATGGTAATATTAACTTCTTCCTTATGTGGAAACATCCATCATTTATTACCCGAGTAGCTGCTGCAGCTTTAGACTAAAATTTATAAAATAACGTTATATTTGTTTGTAAAGCGAGCAAAAATATCGATGTTGATAGAAGGACACTATTCAGCGGTCGTTCAACGACAGTAGAGTCGTAAAGGGACCTTAGGCAGGAGCGAACCGTGCAGAAATAAATATGCCGAGGCCTGTGATGAAACCAAAACGTGAGCGGAGGAAACCTGATTATCATAGTTTCAACAATCAACGTGATCCCAATAAAATTTCCTCCAGTCTGTAACCCTCAAAAATAAAGTAAATCAGTTGCTGTTCATTTCCAAATATGCCCATCTGTCAGGGGACTAACTAATCTCTGTTGCAGACGATTGCTCAGGCACATTTCTCTTTTCTTCAACACTCACAGAGCACGCACTTATCCTGAGCGGGCCATAGATAAAGTTTCTGGGAAAGAATGGACAATCTATTTAATTAGTAGTTTCGAACAAGGCTCGATCACGATGACTTGGGATTTCATTGCAAGCAGAATCACCGACAGGTTCTGTCGATTCAATTTCACTGACATATGCGTGGTATGGTTTTCACGCAATTTCCAAAGATGCTGCACGCTGGGATCGTCTCTTATCTAGGCTGATATTATCATGGAGTCACCTTGGTAAGATTCGAAACCGGAACTCATGGTCGGAACGCTAATGTTCTGTCTACTAGGCCATCTCACGTAAATAACATTAGAATCGATACTGCCAAAACAAAATTATTCTTAGAGCAGAATTTACATTTCCAGCTGCGCGTTGATATCTTGTTTTTGCTTGTACGCATCAGATATAATAGTAATATTAATAAATATTAATATAAAATTGAAATATCATAAATGAAAATTTTAAATATTGAAGTAAAAATAATATGAGTAACAGAGGCGACGTATTATTATTGCTATAAAAAACACACTCACCTTTGGTTCATTTTCTTTACTTTTCTTGTCTTTTTCACGGCGTTTCAACCACTGATAAGCTTCCTTTTTCAGGTGGTCATCCAAATCGGTACCTTGGGAATTTCGAACTGAGATATATATTCACATACCTTTATCTGTGACGTTTACGCAATTTCAGAACACATAATCGTCAATTCTTCCATCTATATATAAAATTCTGTGACTTCCTTTTGTCTGTCCGTCGGTCACAACCTCTAAAATAGCCATACATTGACTGATCGAAATCAAATTTTAGAGAGAAGTGTAATCAGGTCAGCGGGTGTAAAGTACAGGTGGTTTTACTAGAGTGCGCAGCTTAGTACAATAAATTTTCATTAAATTTTTGGAAAAATTAAAACTTATTATTTAACATATAAGTTACTCCCATTATTTTAAAAACAATTTAATGATTAATATGACAAATACAATTTAATAAAAATGCAATATTTTTTTGCATATCTTTAAGTTTTTATGTATGCAAGAATCTTGTTTCCAGTTCGCCCTGCGTTTGCGAGAACTATAAACAAAACACAAAGCCAAACGCTTCAAAAAGTTGAAATTTAGCTCCAGAAAGAAATATTTACGCATTGCCAGTTGTATGTTGCGTGCTCAAGAGTATGAAATCCTAAGAATTTATTCTTCGCTGTTAAAAAGGAAAAAAAGAAGAAGAAATTTCTTAAAGAATACTGCTTACCATGAAGTCCTATAAAATTAAGTTAAATGAAAGAAATTATTAAAGCACGAAGTAGAGTTTTTGTCAAAGTATTTTTTCCAAACAAATCAGTTTATTTAAATTTCATTGATTGGTTTTCGAAATTGAAAGAAACGTAGAGTTTGTAAATCTCGACAAAAATATTAGCGTCAACTTCAAAAATATTAAATATTTTGAGGTTTTTAACACGCGTCAGTGGGTTGCAAAAACATTCTAGCATAATATAACTTTGCCTTTCATCTAAAATGCTGTATATTTATCAGATTTTATTATGCAAGTTCATTATTTACACATAAACTGAGAGGAGAAAAAATAGGAAGAAAAATAGGAACCGACTCATATTGGATCTGGGCTTGATTTTGGACCATTTTTATACCAATATGACTTGTGGAAGAATATCATGTTTCTCTCTTTTTTTTATGAAAGTTACAGACAAAATATGAAAATATATCTAGAAAGGTGAGCAATAATTTATCTTTGTAGAATGTCCAAGCTTAAAAAACGTTAATTCCCTGCAGTTATGTTTAAACAGTCATCGATTTTAAAGGTACTTATAATTTTAATGACAAACTAATAGGTCAAAACATTATTCCAACCTTAAATGTTGCCTTGTTCTGTCGGTTGACTATTTCCATGAAGGATCCAAACTCGAGACCAATCATCTGGATCATCCAATGAAGCTTTATAGTCCTTACTAAAGATTACAGTTAAGAAATCCGTTTTCATGTACTACTTCACATAACATACATGTTCCTCTTTGTGGTGATGGTTTCGTAACTTTCGTCAATGTTCTTACTGTTTGCATCCTTTGTTTACATTAGCGACAACAGATTCTTCAAATATTTTAGAGCCTGTTGTTTCCTTTTCTTGCCAATGTTTTCAATTTCTGAAATCGATTGATTGTTTCGTTTTCTACGGTTTTTTAACCCTTTATTTTTAGATTGTAAGATGTTTTTTTTTTGCAGATAATAATGATTTAGTGATTTATTTTTAACTGAGCTGGATCTTCAATAATATTACTAATTAACCCATAGCTAGGGGCAGAAGAGGTGAATTCGCAAATACACTTGGAACGCTATGGATTCATCTCCTTCACAAGCAATGGGTAAAATAGTCAGAACTTGAAACTAGAAACTCAATGTTATTCTAAAAAATGTAATAATCACTCACGAAAAAAGAATTATTCTTACAAATCCAAAATATGCTTCGATTTCAAATAAACCATAAAGGGTTTAGAAACCATAAAAAAGAAGCAAATCAATTAACAATGACCTTGGCCACAATTTCAATTCATCCATTGTCAGTACCGATATCAAATACAGCGAGCCTTAGATGAATATATCCTGATAATTTGAACAATATTCGTCGGTTAATGGTAATTTTATTATTTGTTTGACCAGTTCGAACCTTTACGGCTAAGACCCTTAGTGCCACGCCCATTGTATCGAAGCACCCTCATTCCTTCCGTATTCCATTGGTGAGATGTATGTTCTATTAAAGTAGCTTCTTCTCACGAACAGTTGCTTTGTGGAAGCGACTTCCAAGAGTCGGTCCCACAAAGCAGTTTCCCTGATCACTACAGTCTTAACCTATTCAATACCAGCTCTAACCGTTGTCTTCCCCAAATATCCACATAAACTGTGCCTCTTACTCTATAACACTCTACCTCGAGTGGCTCTCGAGTATTATGTGAACATCATTGTAAAAAAAAAAGAAAAAGAAAAGAAAAACTGAAGAGGCTTCAACGTTAACATTAATAACCATCTGCAAGATGTCTGCTACTCTTTTGATTACTGCTAACGATCACATCACGTTGAAACACCGGTTACGGATGATCAACGAAGTTAAGCAACGTTGATCCTGGTCAGTAGCTAGATGGGTGTCCGCTTCGGAATACCAGGTGCTGTAAGCTTGGATGTGAGGGTGGTGTAATGGATAATGAGTCGAAATTTTTAATCGGTGAGTCGAGTTCCAATTTCAGTTGGATTCGTTATATTCCCTTACGAAAAGGTATGAATCCACATCTCTGCCAGCTATTGATCAATTTGTAAGACTTTTACCACACTATTGTGAAGCCTTCTAGAACAATCCAGGCATTCTGATAACAAATGATTGGTAAACAAATTTTCTGCAAACCAAATCAACAGCAAACTTCAAGCTTTTTTTTTACCAGTTTTTCATCTGACTGCATCTGTACTAAGATTGGTTGATTTTCTATAGCGGCTATAGATATTTTGAACATATTTTTTATAGCTTCAACTAAATATATTTTGAATGCGATTGTATGCCTAGACTACAGATAAAATATCCTGTTGGTAATTTTGTTTTAAATAGGTATTGATGGTTGGTTGATTTTGTTCAACGGCACATCAACCTTCATGGGTCATCCAATGCCAAAATCTAAACATTTATAATTATATATTTTAAGGGTACATCTATGTTTCTTAGATGTTTGTTGATCATAAAATTGTTGTTAATTTTACTATGAAAATGCATTTTTATATTTTTTGCATTCATTGTCATTTTGCTATAAAAATGTATCGTTGCTCATTTAGTATCAAAATTAGCTTTTGATTTTTGTTTGGGGATTCACTATTTTTCTATAGCTGGGACCCTAACAGGTGGACTTGGGAATAACTGCAGTTAAGAGATATAAAAGTGAACATTGAAGTCAACACTCAAGGGCTACAGGCTGTTTCATGCTACATCAAACCACTTTGTCGTGTTCAATGAAACGTGCATATATATATATATATATATATATATATATATATATATATATATATATATATATAGTGTGTGTGTGTCTGTCTGTGTGTGTGTGGCTGAAGACAGATGTGACGGAAAGCAAAATTTTGATGCTAGACAGACTCCACAATATTCTGATACAAGACACAAAAAATAATTCCATTATTTTTTACGGGTACTATGCTCGTTAATTTTCTTTTTGTAATCAACACTTGTATCTTCATCGCTGTCATCCTTAAAAGTAGCGCCATTCACCATCAGCCAATCAATGAACGATACGTCATCACTCACCCCTTACTCCCCTACTGCTGTCCTTTTCTGTTCCTCTTTTTCATGATCATGATCATGAACAGTCCAAGACCCAGTCATTCATGTTCCTGTGATACCGTTCTCACCCCCATCACTTTCTAACGCCTCCCACAACTAATGACCAAAGTTATTGCAGTCGGTTGACTTCTCTTCCAATATTAATGAGCCTCGTCCAATCTCCCCACCCCCGATTTTTCACACCTCATCTCCAAGCATTTTGTATGACAACTTCAGTCCCACCCCGGACATCATTCTTCGGCAGCCTCGCCTCTCTGCCATTAACACATTGTTCGTGTGTCTTCGATTTATTCCATATAAAGACGAGAGTGTGTTGAAAAGAATGAAGATAGAAATATTTGTCAAGGTGAAAAAGAGAGAGGCACATAAAGAGAGAGAGTGAAAAATGGAAGAATACAGAGGAAAAGAGAAAAAAGAAAGTTAAGAGAGAAGAAAGTAAAGAAAAAAAAAAATAAAATAGTATAAATAGGGATATTAAACAGAGAGATAAATAGAAGATATTAAACAGAGAGGGAAAAGAGGGGAAAAGAGAGGTAATGATTAAAAGGAAGGAGAAAATGGGAAGATTTAATGGCGAAATAAGGAGAAAGAGAATGAAACCCTGAACAAAAGAAAAGTAAGAAGAGTTTAAGCCGATGAAGAATTAATGTGGTTTGGGCTCGAAGATACAAGATTTGGTTTTCCCGCCAAGAAGCTATGTGGGCAGTGGGGAGAAAGGAGGTACGAGCACCTCTCGCTCTGAGAAAAGACCAATAAATCAAAAGCCGATTGTTAGAATGGTGCTTTCCGATTTGCAGCGACAGAGAAGGATACTTTAAAGTTTCATCATCCCTAAAATGGCGAGAAAGTAGTGCCTAAACGAATCATTAGTTTACGGTTAGAGAAAAGAGAAAAGAGAAAAGAGTGATGTCACAAAGACACTAGATACGGCAAATGGCGTACATTAAGACAGTAATGATGATTCCTCAAAAATGGTGTAGCTATTGATGATAAGAACCGTATAGATGGGCGAAGGGATGGAGAATAATTAAACTAGTTTAATTTAGTCTTTCTTAAGTAGAAGGACACATAGTGAGAGTCGAATCCACCACACAGACGAAGTGAATGACAAGTGTTGTAAAAATCGCGCGAAAATGGATGCTGCGCTTTCTAAGTTTAACATAGTCTGGTAAATGGTAACCAGTTAGGATCTAATTCATAATAATGATGGTAATTTACTGGACTATCTTATCCGATCCTTAACGGGTTGTTACGGAAGAAAGGAAAAAAATAAGAAATGATCCTAGTGATTTTCTATTTAACATCTTACCCGGTGCAGACGCGTGTATATTTCAGTTTTTACCGAAAGTGTCTTCTTTAGATACGGACGAATAAGCTTGTTTAAAACATAACGTTCAAAAACCAGTTATAGACGTGTTTATACGTCGATCTTGATTCTTTTTATGACCTTCTGAGATTGAAACGAGTCCATTTGTCAACTCATATGTCTGGTAGATTTGTTAGCCACAGCTCGGGTACTTCAAGGTGCCTCTGTTCATAATAGATCTTGATTCATTTTATGACCTTCTGAGCTTGAAACGAGTTCACAGCTCGGGTACTTCAAGGTTCAGCATTTTCTTCTTTACTATATTAAAAACAAATAAAAATTTCGTCTGAAAATGAAACATTTTTTCCCGAAGTAATTGGCGGGGAAGGTGTTATGTTGACGATGGAGGCGTCAGAATCAAGTCTGTATCGATATTTAATTTGTTTGGAAGTTTCTTAACAGTTAGCGCAAAACGTGACACATTAAACCGAATGGATATTATAACAACCAAAAGATGCTTTCCAAAAGCTAAGCAATCTATCAAAAAACAGGAAAATCTCGTTAGAAAAGAAGTGCTATTTAATACTAATCTTGCAATATGGTACTGAATATGATTACAGATGGAGAGAAAAAGAGGCAACAGAGAAATTGGGAATCACAAAGCCAGATTAAGGAGGATGTTTGAAGAGAAATGAAAACGAAAGTGGACATAAATCAGAAAGAAGCAGTATAATGTTTAGGGACACATAACGAAGAAAGAGTGCTTGGAGAATTTGAAACTTACAGGACAGATTGAAGGCAAGAAGGAAAAAGGAAAGCAGTGAGTAGCGTACATATCGAGCTAGGGTAGCAAAAGCAGGCAGTGAATAGTAAAAAGACGAACATTTCTAAGAGCGACAACGATAGGAAATTGAGGAGATCTATGATCGCCCACGTCCTGAGGTTACTCGGCAAACAAGAAATTAGTTAAAATGACACTGATCATTAGGAGAATGTTTATATTTATATGGCTTGAGTATCGTAAATTTTATAAGTACATTGAATGTCTACATGTTTATTTTTGCGGGGGGTATTAAACAATTAAAATCTTTGTTGATTAAAACGTTGTTATAAAACGATCACCGACCATGTAAGATGCCAGTTTGAAGTGTAAAAAAATGAGAAAGAGTGCAAAAAACGGTATGACAAGATGGGAACAGTCATATACTGAGAACTGTGCAAATGACTTGGGTTCGACAAAAGAGAAATATGGAATCTGCAAATGCCAGAAAGTAGAAAATAAAAAAGACATTAAATTTTGATAAGCAAAATAAATAAGCAATCGAATTAAGAATAGAGAAATTTGAGCGTCATGATTAAAGAAAATAAAAATGAACCACATGGCTGCGTTAAGGTGCCAGAGAGTGAAAGTGAGAAATTTGAAAATATATGAGAAACTTTCCTAGCAGATGTGGAAGATGAAAGTCCATATCATAGGAGTAGGATCTACTATGTGCCGTGCCAGTTGGGTGAGTGAGTAATTATGGCATTTCACAACTGGCTTATTCATTAGCTCTTAAGACATTTTTAGTGTCCGACATTCTGCCATATATTCTCTCTAGCCAGTCGGGAAGTAGTTCCGCTTCTTACATTCTGCCATCCATTCGCACCTGCCTGCCTGGTAGTAGGTCAGCATCATTTTTCTGCCATCCATTCTCACATGCCATTAAGTCTGGAAATCCGCGTCCTTCATTATGCCATCCATTCTCGTTAGCAAATTGGGAAGTATATCCCGTTTCTACATTCTGCCATACATTCGTACAAGCCCGTCATGTAGCAGGTCAGCACCCACTTGAAATTCAGCCATTCAGGTAGGAGGTTAGGTTCGTTTATTCTGCCATCCAATCTCACATGATATTTAGTCAGGAAATCCGCGTCCTTCATTCTGCCATCCATTCTCGCTAGGCAATTGGGAAGTAGATCCCGGTCCTATATTCCGCCATCCATTCGCACAAGCCCGTCAGGTATTACGTCAGCATCATTTATTCTGCCATCCATTTTGACATGTATTAAGTCAGGTAATCCGCGTCCTTCATTCTGCCATGAATTCTCGCTAGCTAATTGGGAAGTAGTACACGTACTTACATTCTGCCATTCAAGAAGTAGGTCAGCTTCCTTTATTTGCCATTAATTTTCACATGCCATTAAGTCAGGAAACCGGCGTCCTTCATTCTGCCATCGATTCTCGCTAGCCAAGTGGGAAGTTGTTCAAGTTCTTACATTCTGCCATTTAGGTAGGAGGTCATCTTCCTTTATTCTGCCATTCATTCTCACATGCCATTAAGTCAGGAAACCCGCGTCCTTCATTCTGCCATCCATTCTCGCTAGCCAATTGGGAAATTGTTCCCGTTCTTACATTCTGCCATTTAGGTAGGAGGTCAGCTTCCTTTATTTTGCTATTCATTCTCACTTGCCATTAAGTCAGGAAACCCGCGTCCTTCATTCTGCCATCCATTCTCGCTAGCCAATTTGGAAGTTCTTCCAGTTCCAACATTCTGCCATTTAGGTAGGAGGTCATCTTCCTTTATTCTGCCATTCATTCTCAGTTGCCATTAAGTCAGGAAACCGGCGTCCTTCATTCTGCCATCCATTCTCGCTAGCCAATTGGGAAGTTCTTCCAGTTCTTACATTCTGCCATTTAGGTAGGAGGTCAGCTTCCTTTATTTTGCTATTCATTCTCACATGCCATTAAGTCAGGAAACCCGCGTCCTTCATTCTGCCATCCATTCTCGCTAACCAAGTGGGAAGTTCTTCCAGTTCCTACATTCTGCCATTTAGGTAGGAGGTCAGCTTCCTTTATTTTTCTATTCATTCTCATATGCCATTAAGGCAGGCAACCCGCGTCCTTCGTTCTGCCATCCATTCTCGGAAGTTGTTCCCCGTTCTTACATTCTGCCATTTAGGTAGGAGGTCAGCTTCCTTTATTTTGCTATTCATTCTCACTTGCCATTAAGTAAGAAAACCCGCGTCCTTCATTCTGCCATCCATTCTCGCTAACCAAGACGGAAGTTGTTCCCGTTCTTACATTCTGCCATTTAGGTAGGAGGTCAGTTTCCTTTATTCTGCCATTCATTCTCACTTGCCATTAAGTCAGGAAACCCGCGTCCTTCATTCTGCCATCCATTCTCGCTAACCAAGTGGGAAGTTGTTCCCGTTCTTACATTCTGCCATTTAGGTAGGAGGTCATCTTCCTTATTCTGCCATTCATTCTCACTTGCCATTAAGTCAGGAAACCCGCGTCCTTCATTCTGCCATCCATTCTCGCTAGCCAATTGGGAAATTGTTCCCGTTCTTACATTCTTCCATTTGGGTGGAGGTCATCTTCCTTTATTCTCAGCCATTCTGCCATTCATTCTCACTTGCCATTAAGTCAGGAAACCTGTCATCCATTCTCGGTTCATTCTCACATGCCATTAAGTCCAGGAAACCCCGCGTCCTTCATTCTGCATCCATTATTCTTCTTACATTCTGCCATTTTAGGTGGGAGGCCATTTCCTTTATTCTGGAATTCATTCTCATATGCCATTAAGTCGTCCTTCATTCTGCCATCCATTCTCGCTAGCTTTGGAAGTTTTTTTCCTAGTTCTTACATGGCCATTTAGGTAGGGTGTCATCTTCCTATTCTGCCTTTCATTCTCAATCCTGCCATTAATTCAGTATTCTGCCATCCATTCTCGCTAGCCAATTTGGAAGTTTTCCCCGTTCCCATACATTCTTCCATTTTAGGTTCTTCCTTTATTCTGCCATTCATTCTCAAATGCCATTAAGTCAGGAAACCCGCGTCCTTCATTCTGCCATCCATTCTCGCTAGCCAATTTGGAAATTGTTCCCCGTTCTTACATTCTTCCATTTAGGTAGGAGGTCATCTTCCTTTATTCTGCCATTCATTCTCACTTGCCATTAAGTCAGGAAACCCGCGTCCTTCATTCTGCCATCCATTCTCGCCATCCATTCCGTTCTTACATTCTTCCATTTAGGTAGGGATCTTCCTTTATTCTGCCATTCATTCTCAAGCCATTAAGTCAGAAACCCGCGTCCTTCATTCTGCCATCCATTCTCGCTAGCCAATTTGGAAATTTTTCCCGTTCATTCTTCCATTTATTCATCTTCCTGCCATTCATTCTCAAATGCCATTAAGTCAGGAAACCCGCGTCCTTCATTCTGCCATCCATTCTCGCTAATTGGGAAAATTTTCCCCGTTCTTACATTCTTCCATTTTAGGTAGGAGGTCATCTTCCTTTATTCTGCCTTTCATTCTCAAATGCCATTAAGTTCCTTCATTCTGCCATCCATTCTCGCTTTGAAATTGTTCCATTCTTACATTCTTCCATTTAGGTAGGAGGTCATCTTCCTTTATTCTGCCATTCATTCTCACTTGCCATTAAGTCTTCATTCTGCCATCCATTCTCGCTAGCCATTTTGTTCCCGTTCTTACATTCTTCCATTTAGGTAGGAGGTCATCTTCCTTTATTCTGCCATTCATTCTCACTTGCCATTAAGTCAGGAAACCCGTCCTTCATTCTGCCATCCATTCTCGCTAGCAACAATTGGGAAATTGTTCCCGTTCTTACATTCTTCCATTTTAGGTAGGAGGTCAGCTTCCTTTATTCTGCCATTCATTCTCACTTGCCATTAAGTCAGGAAACCCCACGTCCTTCATTCTGCCATCCATTCTCGCTAGCCAATTGGGAAATTGTTCCCGTTCTTACATTCTTCCATTTTAGGTAGGTCAGCTTCCTTTATTTTGCCATTCATTCTCACTTGCCATTAAGTCAGAAACCCGCGTCCTTCATTCTGCCATCCATTCTCGCTTCTGAATTGGGAAATTTTCCCGTTCTTACATTCTTCCATTTAGGTAGGAGGTCATCTTCCTTTATTCTGCCATTCATTCTCAGCCATTAAGTCCCGCGTCCTTCATTCTGCCATCCATTCTCCTTGGGAAGTTTTCCAGTTCTTACATTCTGCCATTTTAGGTCATCTTCCTTTATTCTGCCATTCATTCTCAAATGCCATTAATTCAGGAAACCCGCGTCCTTCATTCTGCCATCCATTCTCGCTAGCCAATTGGGAAGTTCTTACATTCTTCCATTTAGGTCCATCTTCCTTTATTCTGCCATTCATTCTCATTGCCATTAAGTCAGAAACCCGCGTCCTTCATTCTGCCATCCATTCTCGCTAGCCAATTGGGAAATTGTTCCCGTTCTTACATTCTTCCATTTGGGTAGGAGGTCATCTTCCTTTATTCTGCCATTCATTCTCACTTGCCATTAAGTCAGAAACCCGCGTCCTTCATTCTGCCATCCATTCTCGCTTTATTTGGGAAATTGGTTCTTACATTCTTCCATTTAGGTAGGAGGTCATCTTCCTTTATTCTGCCATTCATTCTCACTTGCCATTAAGCCCCGCGTCCTTATCCATTCTCGCCAATTGGAAATTGTTTCCCCGTTCTTATTCTTCCATTTAGGTAGGAGGTCATCTTCCTTTATTCTGCCATTCATTTCTCACTTGCCATTAAGTCAATTGAAACCCGTTCTTACATTCTTCCATTTTCATTTCTGCCATCCATTCTCTGCCATCCATTCTCGCCCAATTGGGAAATTGTTCCCGTTCTTACATTCTTCCATTTAGGTAGGTCATCTTCCCTTTATTCTGCCATTCATTCTCACTTGCCATTAAGTCAGGAAACCCGCGTCCTTCATTCTGCCATCCATTCTCGCTACAATTGGGAAATTGTTCCCGTTCTTACATTCTTCCATTTAGGTAGGAGGTCATCTTCCTTTATTCTGCCATTCATTCTCACTTGCCATTAAGTCAGAAACCCGCGTCCTTCATTCTGCCATCCATTCTCGCTAGCCAATTGGGAAATTGTTCCCCGTTCTTACATTCTTCCATTTAGGTAGGAGGTCATCTTCCTATTCTGCCATTCATTCTCACTTGCCATTAAGTCAGGAAACCCGCGTCCTTCATTCTGCCATCCATTCTCGCCAATTGGGGTTGTTCCCCGTTCTTACATTCTTCCATTTAGGTTCATCTTCCTTTATTCTGCCATTCATTCTCACTTGCCATTAAGTCAGGAAACCCGCGTCCTTCATTCTGCCATCCATTCTCGCTAGCCAATTGGGAAATTGTTCCCCGTTCTTACATTCTTCCATTTAGGTAGGGGACATCTTCCTTTATTCTGCCATTCATTCTCACTTGCCATTAAGTCAGGAAACCCGCGTCCTTCATTCTGCCATCCATTCTCCTTCAGCCAATTGGGAAATTGTTCCCGTTCTTACATTCTTCCATTTAGGTATTCTTCCTTTATTCTGCCATTCATTCTCCTTGCCATTAAGTCAGGAAACCCGTCCTTCATTCTGCCATCCATTCTCGCTTTTGGGAAATTGTTCCCGTTCTTACATTCTTCCATTTAGGTAGGAGGTCATCTTCCTTTATTCTGCCATTCATTCTCACTTGCCATTAAGTCAGGAAACCCGCGTCCTTCATTCTGCCATCCATTCTCGCTAGCCAATTGGGAAATTGTTCCCGTTCTTACATTCTTCCATTTAGGTAGGAGGACATCTTCCTTTATTCTGCCATTCATTCTCATTAAGTCTCCTTCATTCTGCCATCCATTCTCGCTAGCCAATTGGGAAATTGTTCCCGTTCTTACATTCTTCCATTTAGGTAGGAGGACATCTTCCTTTATTCTGCCATTCATTCTCACTTGCCATTAAGTCAGAAACCCGCGTCCTTCATTCTGCCATCCATTCTCGCTATTCTTCCATTTAGGTAGGAGGACATCTTCCTTTATTCTGCCATTCATTCTCACTTGCCATTATTCCTTCATTCCATCCATTCTCGCTAGCCAATTGGGAAATTGTTCCCGTTCTTATTCTTCCATTTAGGTAGGAGGACATCTTCCTTTATTCTGCCATTCATTCTCACTTGCCATTAAGTCAGGAAACCGCGTCCTTCATTCTGCCATCCATTCTCGCTTCTTAATTGGGAAATTGTTCCCCGTTCTTACATTCTTCCATTTAGGTAGGAGGTCATCTTCCTTTATTCTGCCATTCATTCTCACTTGCCATTAAGTCAGGAAACCCGCGTCCTTCATTCTGCCATCCATTCTCGCTAGCCAATTGTTGTTCCCGTTCTTACATTCTTCCATTTAGGTGGAGGTCATCTTCCTTTATTTTGCTATTCATTCTCCTAAATTAAGGCAGAAACCCGCGTCCTTCATTCTGCCATCCATTCTCGCTATTGCCAATTGGGAAATTGTTCCCGTTCTTACATTCTGCCATTTAGGTAGGAGGTCAGCTTCCTTTATTTTGCTATTCATTCTCATATGCCATTAAGGCAGGAAACCCGCGTCGTTCATTCTGCCATCCATTCTCGCTAGCCAATTGGGAAATTGTTCCCGTTCTTATTCTGCCATTTTGGGTGGGGGTCATCTTCCTTTATTTTGCTATTCATTCTCATGCCATTAAGGCAGCCCGCGTCGTTCATTCTGCCATTCATTCTCGCTTCAGCCAATTGGGAAATTGTTCCCGTTCTTACATTCTGCCATTTAGGTAATCTTCCTTTATTCTGCTATTCCTCAAATGCCATTAAGGCAGGAAACCCGCGTCGTTCATTCTGCCATCCATTCTCGCTAGCCAATTTGGAAGTTTTTCCAGTTCCTACATGCTGCCATTTAGGTAGGGTGTCATCTTCCTTTATTCTGCCTTTCATTCTCAAATGCCATTAATTCAGGAAACCCGCGTCCTTCATTCTGCCATCCATTCTCGCTAGCCAATTGGGAAATTGTTCCCGTTCTTACATTCTTCCATTTAGGTAGGAGGTCATCTTCCTTTATTCTGCCATTCATTCTCACTTGCCATTAAGTCAGGAAACCCGCGTCCTTCATTCTGCCATCCATTCTCGCTAGCCAATTGGGAAATTGTTCCCGTTCTTACATTCTTCCATTTTAGGTTCATCTTCCTTTATTCTGCCATTCATTCTCACTTGCCATTAAGTCAGGAAACCCGCGTCCTTCATTCTGCCATCCATTCTCGTAGCCAATTGGGAAATTGTTCATCTTCCATTTAGGTAGGAGGACATCTTCCTTTATTCTGCCATTCATTCTCACTTGCCATTAAGTCAGGAAACCCGCGTCCTTCATTCTGCCATCCATTCTCGCTAGCCAATTGGGAAATTGTTCCCGTTCTTACATTCTTCCATTTAGGTAGGAGGTCATCTTCCTTTATTCTGCCATTCATTCTCACTTGCCATTAAGTCAGAAACCCGCGTCCTTCATTCTGCCATCCATTCTCGCGCTTGCCAATTGGGAAATTGTTCCCGTTCTTACATTCTTCCATTTTGGTAGGAGGACATCTTCCTTTATTCTGCCATTCATTTCTCTGCCATTAAGTCATTCTCCTTCATTCTGCCATCCATTCTCAAGCCAATTGGGAGGTTGTTCCCGTTCTTACATTCTTCCATTTAGGTAGGAGGTCATCTTCCTTTATTCTGCCATTCATTCTCACTTGCCATTAAGTCAGGAAACCCGCGTCCTTCATTCTGCCATCCATTCTCGCTAAGTTGGGAAATTGTTCCCGTTCTTCATTCTTCCATTTAAGGTAGGGAGGACATCTTCCTTTATTCTGCCATTCATTCTCACTTGCCATTAAGTCAGGAAACCCGCGTCCTTCATTCTGCCATCCATTCTCGCTAGCCAATTGGGAAATTGTTCCCGTTCTTACATTCTTCCATTTTAGGTCATCTTCCTTTATTTTGCCATTCATTCTCACTTGCCATTAAGTCAGAAACCCGCGTCCTTCATTCTGCCATCCATTCTCGCTAGCCAATTGGGAAATTGTTCCCGTTCTTACATTCTGCCATTTAGGTAGGAGGTCAGCTTCCTTTATTTTGCTATTCATTCTCATATGCCATTAAGGCATTCTCCATCCATTCTCGCTAGCCAATTGGAAATTGTTTCCCCGTTCTTACATTCTGCCATTTTAGGTAGGAGGTCAGCTTCCTTTATTTTGCTATTCATTCTCATAATTAAAGGCCCCGCGTCCTTCATTCTGCCATTCATTCTCGCTAGCCAATTGGGAAATTTCTGCCATTTAGGTAGGAGGTCAATTTTGCTATTCATTCTCCTTCTTTAAGGCAGGAAACATTCTGCCATTTTATTTTAGGTAGGAGGTCAGCTTCCTTTATTTTGCTATTCATTCTCATTATGCCATTAAGGCAGGAAACCCGCGTCGTTCATTCTGCCATTCATTCTCGCTAGGCCAATTGGGAAATTGTTCCCGTTCTTACATTCTGCCATTTAGGTGGAGGTCCATTTATTTTGTATTCATTCTCATATGCCATTAAGGCGGAAACCCGCGTCCTTCATTCTGCCATCCATTCTCGCTATTTGGGAAATCCCGTTCTTACATTCTGCCATTTAGGTAGGAGGTCAGCTTCCTTTATTTTGCTATTCATTCTCATATGCCATTAAGGCTTACCGCGTCCTTCATTCTGCCATCCATTCTCGCTAGCCAATTGGGAAATTGTTCCCGTTCTTACATTCTGCCATTTTAGGTCCATTAATTGGGAAATTGTTCCCGTTCTTACATTCTGCCATTTAGGTAGGAGGTCAGCTTCCTTCATTCATTCTCATTGCCATTAAGGCATCGTCGTTCATTCTGCCATTCATTCTCGCTAGCCAATTGGAAATTGTTCCCGTTCTTACATTCTGCCATTTATTCTTCCTTTATTTTGCTATTCATTCTCATATGCCATTAAGGCAGGAAACCCGCGTCGTTCATTCTGCCATTCATTCTCGTTTGGGAAATTGTTCCCGTTCTTACATTCTGCCATTTAGGTAGGAGGTCAGCTTCCTTTATTTTGCTATTCATTCTCATATGCCATTAAGGCAGGAAACCCGCGTCGTTCATTCTGCCATTCATTCTCGCTAGCCAATTGGGAAATTGTTCCCGTTCTTACATTCTGCCATTTAGGTAGGAGGTCAGCTTCCTTTATTTTGCTATTCATTCTCATATGCCATTAAGGCAGGAAACCCGCGTCCTTCATTCTGCCATCCATTCTCGCCTTTAATTGGGAAATTGTTCCCGTTCTTACATTCTGCCATTTTAGGTCAGCTTCCTTTATTTTGCTATTCATTCTCATTATGCCATTAAGGCAGGAAACCCGCGTCCTTCATTCTGCCATTCATTCTCGCTATCCAATTGGGAAATTGTTCCCGTTCTTACATTCTGCCATTTAGGTAGGAGGTCAGCTTCCCCTTGCCATTAAGGCAGGAAACCCGCGTCCTTCATTCTGCCATTCATTCTCGCTACCAATTGGAAATTGTTCCCGTTCTTACATTCTGCCATTTTAGGTAGGAGGTCAGCTTCCTTTATTTTGCTATTCATTCTCATGCCATTAAGGCAGGAAACCCGCGTCCCGAAAAACTCGCTAGCCATCTTTTCTGCCATTTTGGGTAGGAGGTCAGCTTCTTTATTTTTGCTATTCATTCTCATATGCCATTAAGGCAGGAAACCCGCGTCCTTCATTCTGCCATCCATTCTCGCTTTACATTCTGCCATTTAGGTAGGAGGTCATCTTCCTTTATTTTGCTATTCATTCTCATATGCCATTAAGGCAGAAACCCGCGTCCTTCATTCTGCCATCCATTCTCGCTAGCCAATTGGGAAATTGTTCCCGTTCTTACATTCTGCCATTTTGGTAGGAGGTCAGCTTCCTTTATTTTTATTCATTCTCATATGCCATTAAGGCAGGAAACCCGCGTCCTTCATTCTGCCATTCATTCTCGCTAGCCAATTGGGAAATTGTTCCCGTTCTTACATTCTGCCATTTATTCTTCCTTTATTTCATTCTCATTTAAGGCAGGAAACCCGCGTCGTTCATTCTGCCATCCATTCTCGCTTTAGCCAATTGGACATTCTGCCATTTAGGTAGGAGGTCAGCTTCCTTTATTTTTTCGCTCATATGCCATTAAGGCAGTATTCTGCCATTCATTCTCGCTACATTCTGCCATTTAGGTAGGAGGTCAGCTTCCTTTATTTTTGCTATTCATTCTCATATGCCATTAAGGCAGAAACCCGCGTCCTTCATTCTGCCATTCATTCTCGCTAGCCAATTGGGAAATTGTTCCCGTTCTTACATTCTGCCATTTTTAGGTAGGAGGTCAGCTTCCTTTATTTTGCTATTCATTCTCATATGCCATTAAGGCAGGAAACCCGCGTCGTTCATTCTGCCATTCATTCTCGCTAGCCAATTGGAAATTTTTCCCGTTCTTACATTCTGCCATTTAGGTAGGAGGTCAGCTTCCTTTTATTTTGCTTCATTCTGCCCTTTATTTTGCTATTCATTCTCATATGCCATTAAAACCCGCGTCGGAATGATTCTGCCTTTCATTCTCCAATGCCATTAATTCAGAAACCCCGTTTCATTCTGCCATCCATTCTCGTTTGTTCCCGTTCTTACATTCTGCCATTTAGGTAGGAGGTCAGCTTCCTTTATTTTGCTATTCATTCTCATATGCCATTAAGGCAGGAAACCCGCGTCGTTCATTCTGCCATTCATTCTCGCTAGCCAATTGGGGTGTGTTCCCGTTCTTACATTCTTTTAGGTAAGTTATTCATTTCATATGCCATTAAGGCATTCCCGCGTCGTTCATTCTGCCATTCATTCTCCTAGCCAATTGGGAAATTGTTCCCGTTCTTACATTCTGCCATTTAGGTGGAGGTCAGTTTATTTTTGCTATTCATTCTCATATGCCATTAAAAGGCAACCCGCGTCCTTCATTCTGCCATCCATTCTCGCTAATCAATTGGGAAATTGTTCCCGTTCTTACATTCTTCCATTTAGGTAGGAGGTTTTGAACTTTATTTTTGCCGACCTCATATGCCATTAAGGCGAAACCCGCGTCCTTTTTCTGCCATCCATTCTCGCTAGCCAATTGGGAAATTGTTCCCGTTCTTACATTCTGCCATTTGGTAATAATTCATTCTCGCTAGCCAATTTTTTTAGGTTCCATTCATTCTCATTATGCCATTAAGGCAGGCAACCCGCGTCTTCATTCTGCCATCCATTCTCGCTAGCCAATTGGCATTGTTCCCATTCTTACATTCTGCCATTTAGGTAGATTCCTTTATTTTGCTATTCATTCTCACTTGCCATTAAGTCAGGAAACCCGCGTCCTTCATTCTGCAATCCATTCTCGCTAGCCAATTGGGAAGTAGTTCCTGTTCCTACATTCTGTCATCCATTCGCACAAGCACGTCACGTAGTATGTAAGCATCCTTTATTCTGCCATCTATTCTCACATGCCATTAAGTCAAGTAACCTGCGTTCTTCAACCTGCCAACTATTCTTTCTAACCTGTCGGGAAGTATTTCCCCTTCTTAAAATTTGTACACAGTGGTCAGGTTCAAACATTACGAAAAACTTCATCTTTGTAAAATGATTTTATTTTTACACAAATGATGTCATGAAACAATTTTTGACCCAATTTAAGTCGTTGGGATCCGGAAAGTAGGTGTATACAATGGAAACCCATAAAAATAATAATAATAATAATATTATTATTAAGATGATGATGATGATGATGATGATGATTATGATGATGATGATGATGATTAGTATGGTAGAATAAAAGTGAAATGTTGTTCTTTTTCATTAACTTAATCGTATATTTTGTTAGGGTGTCTCAAAGATGAAAATGAAGGTAATCATAAGAATTTTTGGAACCTTTTGAACGACCCTCTGTGGAAAAAACGGAATATTTGAGAAATAATTCAAGCGATCCAAACCGTCGAAATTGCCAAGACATGAAAGGAGAGTTCAGAAGACTTGCTGTCACTTGATTTGCAGAATCTATAATAAACAGTCTTGACGCTGTTGTTGATGATGATGATGGGCTATAATGCAAGTCACATAAAAGTGATAGCAATACGATAAGGAGAGCGGCGCAAATAATGTCAATACACACAGCCAAAATAACAATAAAGAGATTTTTTGGTAATAATAAGAATATTGTTTCTAAACGAGTTAAATGTCCTGAGAACAATTGCCAAGTGGACTTCAAAGGTTTCGATAAAACATTGCTTGAGCGTTTCATTTCTTTCCACGAAGAAGAAGAAGAAGAAGAAGAAGAAGAAGAAGAAGAAGAAGAAGAAGAAAATAGAATTATGTGACTAGAAAGATGCCAAATTTCAGTGTTTAGATTTCGATCGCTCAACGGGGTCAAGGTAATGAAAGAAAGAAAAAAACTGAAGCCTAAAATAGGGCAAGTGAACATCCGGCATTTCGACGAAGAATAACAATAATAATTAAAGACATTTGTTGTCACTTGGTTTTAGAAAACATTATAAGACAGATCATTTTGTCAAGTCGAAGTTTTTTGACAAAGCAAATCTGCCAAAAAGTCAACGAAACCGTTACAATGGACAAGGAAGAGAAAATAAAAAAAGAGTGAAAAAAATGTGTCATGACCTTTCCCAAGAGATTCAAAACTTGTGGGATATGAAGTTGATGGCCATAATCGTGAGAGTTGTAAGAACGTCTCCAAACATAAGCATCACAAATTTAGGCTACAGCTCTTTAGAAAGAGACTTTTTCTTACGTGATCTTTCATCACTGCCTTCCCAGAAAAAAAATCGAAATTGTAAAATTAATAAACTTAATGAATGCTTAATTTTGTTCACTAGATTCTTTTAAAGTGGCCAAAATGAAATCATAATAACGATAATAAAATAAAGTGTATCGTATATCTTTTCACGATAAACTAAATTGACTAAATTCATTAATCAATATATATATAATATATATTGATTAATGAATATATATATATATATATATATATATATATATATATATATATATATATAACTGTGTGTGTAGAAAAATAGAAAAGAACACGATAGGTAAATAATTCATTATAGATTTTATTTTTAAAAAACAGTGCTCCATGCAGTAGTAGAGCTTAGATTATAATTATTTTTTTAAAATATGATACCTTCGCTACATAAGAGTTCTCATGTTTCAAAAACGAGAGCCGAAACCATCTATATTATTATTAAAATTAAATTGAATTAAAGTAACAAGCCCTGTTTCATCCTCAAGCGAAAATTTAGGAATAAATTATTAAAAATGGCTACACACGCACTGTAGCATAGAATTGAAATCACAACACTAGATCTAATCAGCGTCGTTATCCAATGGACCATGTGTCCTAGAGGTCAGCCGTGTATGAATTTCTGGGACTTATAAACCTAATTTCTCAGCAACCGTTTTTTTTTTTACTAGTGCTCATATTGCAATTTTTTTCGTTAATATTATTGCATATTTTTTACCAGAGAATATATTGGAATTTTTTTGTGTTGTTATTCATTACACATCTCTAGCACTCCTTATTACTGGTTCCCATATCGTGTTCATTTCTATGCTTGGTAGGCTCAGGTGATTTTTGTGGCCTAGCATCCGGAAGAGGCATGGCACATGGAACTAGAACAATCTACCCCGTTGAACGAAATAAAGAGTTCGGGTCGAAATTCTAATCGCTTGAAGAAGGCCGGAGCGTACAACGGCCGAAATCTTGTGAATTTGGCAATGAAGATGAGTATAACAGTCCGAATACTGTAAATAATCATAATACATAATCTCAGAGATATAGACAGAAATTTAATTAATATTTGTTTTAATAGTTTTAATAAATTACCAGTTACAAATCCTTTTTTTTTAACCAGAGCTCATATTGAAATTTTGTTGTTATTATTGCTTTTCTCTAGCACTCCGTATTATTGGTTCCCATATTGTATTCGTTTCTATGCTTGGCCGGTTTAGGAGATTGGCCGGCTTAGTAGCCTAGCATATGTGCTGATTCCTTAAGTTTTCGTGATGTTCTCTGTGTATTATTTCAATCTCGTCCCACAGGGGGCGGTGATCTACCTTTTCCCTCCATATGTAGTCAGCTACACGCGATTTTTCTATTTCTCCTTGTGTTACGGATTTACGATGTTCTTGCCGTCTTACCTTAAGGGGTGGTGGTGGTTATATTTCTTACCACAGCTGCACGGGATGGTGTACACACAGTCCTTAGTCATGTTCTCCTCTATTGGATGGGGTGGCTCTTACTCGGACGAGGTTGTCTGCGAAGTGTCGAGCCACTTTTGAAGGTCGTCCTGATGTTATATGGACCAAAGATCTTTTGTATTTTCTCCGATAATCCTTTCACATAGGGTAGTCAGAATAAAACTGTTTTCTGAGTTTTATCTTGTACCCGTCTAGCCCAGTTTGTCGGAGCTGCTGCCATGTACCCAGGGTAGCTGTTATGTTGTAAGGTACTGTTTATATTTTATTTCTTGATTATATCTCTCTGGGTCGCCACTTATGACTTTTGCTCGATGTCGTAAGCAGCGGACGATCCATTTCATTACACTGTATGGGTGTTAGGAATTGAAGTTGAGGTATTGTCTCGTGAATGTTGGCTTGCAGTATACGGATGTCTTGAACCCATGCTCTGTTCCGGTGGACGAAGTAAAGGGTTCAGTTCGAAATTCCAATCACCTGAAGAAGGCCGGAGCGTACAACGGCCAAAACGTCGCGAATATGACAATAAAGATGAGGAGAACAGTCCGAAAAATGTAAATAATTACAATACCTCATTTCAGAACATATAGACAGATACCTTTCACTCTGTTCAATATTTAAAATTAACATTAAATGAGTTATTTGTTTAAATTTATCGCATGTATCTACAGTAGTTATTACCTGTTACTTCAGATTGTTTATGATTCGCTGAGATCGAAAAACGGACGGACGGATGCACGTACACTGCGCTTGATGTCTGTAGATTCAATTTTTGCATTGATTTTTCTCCGAAAAAATGTTTTATCCGACATTATTTCTTATTACTATAAACGTTATTTTTAGTTTGAGTTGCTGTCCCTGTTTTTGATTTTATTAAACAGTGAAAAATTCAGGCTTTACCTTGTCATATTGGTCTTCGTAGCCGAACTGGTAAAGGCAAACTTTGGCGCAAAAAGTGTTTTTTTTTCTCCTGTTAACGATATCAGAGAATGAGACACTCTACCGGAGTTGATGTCTTTTTTCTAAAATATTCCTTAATATATTTTTATAATATTCATTAATATATTTTTGTGTGAGAAAAGGTAAAAATAATCGCAGTATTTAATATTTTTGATCTAAGCAGACACAAATGAATTGAAATCGAGACGACAAATGGCGTCATCAGATGAAAAGAAGATAAAATAAACTGTCCATGTGGGAACACGGGTTTACATCAGGCGCAAAAAAAAAGGTGACAACAAGTGACAATAATGAAATAAGGATAAAATGACTCCGAATTCGGTAAATATTCGCTTCTAGTTCAAACAGGAAAATTCCAGTAGTTAATCCCGTAAGGATTCTATCCGTTTATCAGCCTCTTTAAAAATGGTAAGAGGTTTTATTTGGGTTCGCATTTTGATTTGTAACTATCGATAGAAAGATGAAAAAGCCAATTATATTCGTACACGTGTCATTTTCGTTTAAAATTTATGCTGAACATCAAACAAATTCGCGAGATTTTGGCACATATTTTGCCGCTTGTTGCGATCAATTAGTTCA